ATATATATATATATATATATATATACATATATATGGTATATACCTGTATATAATGTGTATACTGTTTAAAGAAAATGAAGCATTTAATTTTTTCATTATATATTTACATGTATATAAATGTATTATTATGAATCAATTTTTTAAGGAGGGGTGCCGTATGACCTGTGAGATTCTTGTTTGTATGTGATAGACTCTGTCTCTCTTATTTCCTCTAGACAATGTGATGACCCTGTAGAGGCAAACATAGAAGATGTAAGTCCCATTTTCCTGTGTCTCTCTTAAAATGCTACCTTTAACTTTATTAATGTGAATATCATCAATAAACCTCTTTTCTGACTCCTCAGGAGACTGTGTCCGAAGATGAGGTTGATGCTGGCTTTAGGGGACTGTTTACTAAACTTGCAGGAGATGTGAGTTATTTTAGACCCTGCATAATGTTGATGAATTACCTTGATAAACATGAAACATGTTTGACCTCATTAAACATAAAAAAATGTATAATGTTTGCTCTTGCCTAAGGACATGGAGATCTCTGCCACTGAACTGAGAACAATTTTCAACAAAATAGTCGCAAAAAGCAAGTCTTTTCTTTATACAGTAATATTTATTTTAAAAAACATATTCATAAAGATACTTGGTAAACAATTTGTCTTCTTCTTACAGGAACAGATATTAAGACAGATGGTTTCAGTTTGGAAACTTGTAGGGTCATGGTGAACCTCATGGATGTATCCTTTACAAATAGTCCAACAGGCAGTTGTTTAAGATGTCCAAAGATACATTTCTGTTTAACTTCATAAGTCATAAGCAGTTTGACTTAACTCTATTGCAGGAAAGTGGCAATGGTAAACTAGGGTTAGCTGAGTTTGCCACTCTTTGGAAGAAAATTCAAAAGTATCTGGTAAGTTTGTTTTAAGTGTGGCATAGAAAGTCAAAAATGCTACTTGCAAATAGTCTTGGGATAAAATCCTTGTCTTTTTAGGTCATTTATAAGAAGAATGACATGGATGGGTCTGGCTGTATGAGTACTCCAGAGATGCGAATGGCTTTAAAGGAAACCGGTACGCTGACCTTTGACCTTCATTCAAACTTTTCGTTTTAAAGTGAGTTTTTAATGAAGGAGCAGCAAGTGAAACTTCAAAGTAACTTGATTTATTTGTAATCGTTGCACAGGATTCTCTCTGAATGACTGCATTCATCAGAATCTGGCTGCACGCTATGGAGATGCAGACATGAAGATCGACTTTGATAACTTTGTGTCCTGTGTGATGCGCCTGGAGATGATGTTCAGTAAGAACAGTTCATTTTTTCTGATTGGTTGAAATATGTTTCACGGGTTTCAAATATAGGATTCAATGATGTTTTTTTTATAATTGTATGGCTATGAAGAACTTGAGGTTTGTTGATCGCATTGTTGATCACTTCATTACATACTTTCTGAATTGTCTCAAGTTACACTTTTTTAAAACTTCAAGTAGAATTTAAAAATGTCTTTCAATGTTTTATGACTTTCATTACCACCTTGTGTGTGCAGCATGTTTTCAGTTCCAGAGGCAATTATTTCTTACATACTGTACTATATATTGTGATTTTGTTTATTTTTGGTGCATGTATTATGTTTGTAGGATTCAATGATGTTTTTTTTATAATTGTATGGCTATGAAGAACTTGAGGTTTGTTGACCGCATTGTTGATCACTTCATTACATACTTTCTGAATTGTCTCAAGTTACACTTTTTTTAAACTTAAAGTAGAATTTAAAAATGTCTTTCAATGTTTTATGACTTTCATTACCACCTTGTGTGTGCAGCATGTTTTCAGTTCCAGAGGCAATTATTTCTTACATACTGTACTATATATTGTGATTTTGTTTATTTTTGGTGCATGTATTATGTTTTTGTTTATATTTTTTATATCAATTAAAAGCAAATTCTTCTTTTTTTAACTTTTGTAGAAGTGTTCAAAAGGATTGACGTAGACAACAGTGGGTTCATTGAGTTGGACTTCTTCCAGGTATTGAGTGTCTTGCAGTCTAATAGTACTGTATGTCTTAATGTTTAACCATTTTGTGTCCGAGCGTTTTAAATGGTTCTTTTTCTTTCTTTTTTTTCAGTGGCTGACGATTGCTATGATTTAAAGGCCCAGAGGATAATTATGAAAAGTATTTTTATTGTGCTAGTTAACTTACACCGAAGACCATCATATACCAAAATGCTTAATTAGTATAGTGGAGCTCCTGGAATTTGTAAATGTGTCCATTGTACTTTGCTACAGAGATACAAGCATAGTTGCCTGTTGTTTTATTCGTAATGCACTTTCCTCTACAGTGCTTGCAAGGCATCATTGTTTTGATTTTTTTGCTGCTCCAAATTGTGTGGCTTGTTGATGGCAATTGTGCAATTATTTTAAATGATCGGACTTATGATTTGCACCTGGTCATATAGACTTAAAGAGCAATCAAAGTTATACATCCACCTTTTAATTCCCGTTTGAGCGGGCACAGCCATTTGTAAATTCTATGGGTCTAGCTTCCGGTCTCATCCAAACTTTTTTGTCAGTTATCTATTTGTTGTTGTTTTATTTGGTGAACTTAATACTTTTTTTTTAATGAAATTTAATATTCAAGCCTAAAACCAAGTTTACTTTTCTTTGCTGCATTGCAAGCACTGGTATTTTTGTGTAAATTCAAATCTAGTTTGTATTGTGGACCATTTGAAATTTATAAATGCGTAAAATGTACAGCCTTGTTGCTGTAGAGAAACAAATAAAATCCTTTATTATTTGTAACATTATTTCCAGTGTTCACGTTATTCAATGGCTTTCAAGGGTGTCGACCTTTAAGGAGAATCTCTGTCAGTAATTTTAACTGTCTATCTATTTTGTCTATCTATTTTAAAATTTGCCACTCGCAGCCCAAATTGTATTTTGGTCACTCTTGCATCATCAGCCTATACCATCATGTATATATATATATATATATAAAAATTTTAAACACATAGTTATGAAGCGTAAATCTACGCTAAAGCGATAAATAATGACTACCATTTGTCGCTGTACAGAAATATTATTTTTCTGTATAGTTACTTCCTCAGCCGAACGCGACACTTTTCGCGTCAATTTAAAACTTTTGTTGTTAGCATTAACATATTTGAAATCATGTTGAAAATACTGTATGAAACGTACGTACTGTAATGTATAATGTAAATAGAGTATATACTTATTTATATACCGTATTGTTTTTATGTCTGTTAGAAAAGTTCGAGGCTTGCTGGACCCTCTCAAATCCACCATAATTCGACCCGTTATTTGTAAAGTAGGCTACTTGACCGGTTTGTCGTGACAAGTGCACTTGTCTGTCTCAGTGTTTATCGCCCCGCCCCCTCTGGACTCACGCGCACTGAAGCTCTAATAGTGTATTGCGTATCTTTTCGGGAGAATATTACTGTATATATCACACATCCCCCTCACAGAAGAGACTGACAGGACCGCAGCTGCAAGGCAAGTTTAGCGGTTCTTGTATTTCTGCCCTGAATCATGTCGAGATTTATTTAGTTCTGTTCTGTCCGTGTTGTTGGTCTCCGTCGGCCTGCTGTAAATCTGTCGCATTGAACACTATTTAGTGTCGGATATGCATGTTATGCACATATTGAAGCATGAAAACGTTTTAGGCTAGAGTAGTATCGCTGGAAATTACAGCTAAGTTGAAATTGATAATTAAACGAACCGCAGTGATTTACGAAGGTTGAATGAGTTATACAACAACACGACAAAATGCTTGGCATGCCATACATTTTAGAAATGAAATAATGTACAGAACAACCATATGCTTAATATATCGCCACTAAAAGCGTTTTTAAAACGTTAAATATAAAGATTAAGGTTTTAAAACGGCCCTGTGGTGGATTTTTCTAAGTGTTAATAGATTGCATAATAGATTAGAGTACATTTATCTAAATACAATGCAGGTTGTGAACTTGTACACTGAGTGTGATTTGTGTTGAAATTAATGGGAGGCCCTCAGTCTGTTGTGAGTTTTGAGGCCAGCAGCACAATGCAGTCATTGATACATAGAAATATGATGCAAGTGCTGTGACAGTCTAAATATAAAATTATTTGCCATGCATTGCCAATATCTAAGTCTACAAATTGAGTGAGATTCTTGTAGAGCAGATTATGAGTCTACAAACCTGCACATATTTAACTGAGCAGAGCCACAGTACAGCATTCATCACAGTTATCAAAGACAGCATTTAACACCAGACCTCCTGCATCTGTTCTGTTTACATTTTTTACCTTATTGATATGGAATAGTATGCATCATTTACTTTAAAGTAATTCTGATGCCCACAGCCTTCAGTGGAACCAAACTGTATTTGGACACTAAAATTAGTGTTAAAATATTTTGTAAAATTGCATTAGAAGCTAAATATCAAAGCAAGAAGCATCTGCAAACAAATTATGCCTTTTTTTGGGCCATCATTAACATGTTCCACTAATGTTTAACAACCACAAAGTACTACTTCACATAATCCTTTTTTGTTTTTGGAAACTGGTGATGATATCCCATAAACCTTCATGAAAATTACAAATCTGTCACAAGGGCATTACCCATTCAATAGGTACTGATATGTACACTTTAGGTACTAATATGTACTTTTAAAGTGCTAATATGTACCTTTAAGATAGCAATGTGTACTATTTAGGAGTAAGTACTATTTAGACTTTTTTTAGCCCCAGTGACAGCTTTGCACTTTGTTTTTCTGAGAGTGTATGGTCTTTTGAAAGCTAGTGTGCATAATTTGCATTTACGTGTCAGTTATGGAGTTTTATGTTCATTTGTCTTTTTTATTATAGAAAAAATACAATGCAATGTAGTCCGTGTCTACACAAAGGCACAACAATTATTAAAGTGTTTGAGTATGAATCCCTTTGCTATCAGTTTTGCTATTTATAACTGCTTTGCATCTCACGGTTCCAGCATGTTCACATATGGAGGAATCTCGGCACAGATCAGTGCTAACAGGCTACAGGCAGAAGGTGTGGGCTCTTTTGAGCAGGCTTTACACTTCCAGAACCAGGACTTTGAGGCACTCAAACAGGAGTGTTTGGAAGGAGGCTACCTGTTTGAAGACCCCTGCTTCCCCGCCTTACAATGAAAACATACAAAAAAAAACTTTTATATTATTCAACAGTATCCTAATTATGCTAAAATAACACTCTTCCATACATTGACAGTTCATGGTCACCCCACATTTTAAAAGATTCTTCAACATTTTTACTTTGCGTTAAAAATTCGAAATAAATAAACAAATAATTAATAAATAAAATTTTAAAAATCAACCATACGGGTTTGTTACAAAATGAGGATGCTTTTTCATTTTTGGCTGAACTGATCTTGATCTTGATTTATTAAAACAAATATCTTTGGGTTGCCTAATTCTAATCCCTCTTTTTCTGCAGGAGCTCTGTGATGATCCTCAGTTCATTGTGGGTGGAGCCTCACGGACAGACATCTGTCAAGGAGCTCTGGGTACGTTTTCTGGTTGTACAAAAGCCATCGAGTATGCATAGTTTCGAATCGTTTGTCTCGGCAGGTATTACGTGTCATGGAATCCCCTCCAAATGATTCTGAAGCTGTAAAACTCAAAGCATGACTCACCACAGAAAGAGCAGCTCATATAACTGACCTGAGGCGTGTCTGCATGCGACTCATCCACTTCCCACTGACCATGAGTCAGTGCATGTTTGTGATTGTGCCAACTTTTCTCAATCAATGTGTATGTCAGATTTTTCTAGTTTTTATATATTACCGCCCTAGTACAGTACATATTTGTAATCCTTTTACATAAGCTAGTTTAAAACTATCAAATACAGTACCAGACAAATGTCTGCACACCTACTCATTCAATATTAGTAGTGTTTTACAATATATATAAATCATATAGTGACCAAAACAGTTTAACAATTGAAAACTCTCATATATTAGAGCCAACAATGGTAGTGTATGTTCAGCCTGCCGCTGGCCCCTTACGGTTTTGAGGCTGTGGAAAATTCCTCTGCTCTGAGGTGGAGATCTGAGTGGGATGTAAACAGGAATGGGTTCACACAGGCCTCACAGAGAAAATAAACCCCACCCCTTTCTCTGTGTCCCCCTGCTGGTTATAGAGTGGGAGTTCAACTCCTGTGTCTTATTAAAAGACAAAATATTGATTGAAGCATTTTATTCAGGGATTTTGGTATTACAGTTTAAATTGCTTTTTAAATAAGTGGCTTTAGTTCTCCTTGCATTGTCTGTTTTTTTTTTTTCATGGTCAGGTGACTGCTGGCTCCTCGCTGCTATAGCCTCGCTGACTCTTAATGAAAGACTCCTCCACAGGGTCGTCCCTCATGGCCAGAGCTTTCAGGATGACTATGCTGGAATCTTCCACTTTCAGGTTCTGAAACACAATTGCGTGCTCTAGAGGTTCTTATTGTAAATTATACAGTAAATAGGGTTTTTAATATGAACATTTATGCTTAAATGCTTATATTGGCACAAACATGTATTGGGCTGAAATATGATTGTTATTAATTTTATATTAATTTGAATAATAATCATTTTTTTGTTTTGGCCCCATTTTTTTAAATGGCAATTTGTATGTATTTATATATAAAGAAATACTTGTATACACACTGCCGTTCAAAAGTTTGGGATCAGTAAGACGAGACTTTAAAGAAGTCTCTTATGCTCATCAAGGCTGCATTTATTTGATCAAAAATACAGAAAAAAACAGTAATCTTGTAAAATGTTATTACAATATAAAATAATGGTTTCTATTTTAATATCCGTTAAAATATAATTTATTTCTGTGATGCAAAGCTGAATTTCCATCAGCCATTACTCCAGTATAAATTTGGAAACTGATACTTTTTTCAGGATTCTTTAATGAATAAAAAGTTAAAAAGAACAGCATTTATTCAAAATAGAAATCTTTTCTAACTATATAAATCTTTGCTATCACTTCTTATCAATTTAACACATCCTTGCTGAATACAAATTTTAATTTCTTTCAAAAAAAGAAAGAATAAAAATTTACTGACCCCAAACTTTTGAACGGTAGGGTATATTGTTAGAAAAGATTTCTATTTTAAATAAATGCTCTTCTTTTTAACTTTTTATTCATCGAAGAATCCTGAAAAAAGTATCACCGGTTCCAAAAAAATTAATGAATGAATGATGCATTTGATAATAAATCAGCATATTAGAATGATTTCTGAAGGATCATGTGACACTGAAGACTGGAGTAACGATGCTGAAAATTCAGCTTTGCATCACATGAATAAATTAGATTTTAATGTATATTAAAATAGAAAAACTTTATTTTACATCATAATAATTTTTCACAATATTAATTTTTTCCCCCTGTATTTTTGATTACTGACACAAAGTTAAAATTATTTGCAACGGTTTTTTGCAACGGTAATTTGCAATTTGCTTTGTCGCGTCAGTGTAGAGCTGTTATATTGCATGTTTCCCCAAGTATTTCTTCTTGATCTTTCTGTTAGTCTTAAGGTGCAGTCACATTGGCAAAAAAAAAAGGTCAGTTGTCTATTTAAATTGTCTAATGTCAATTGTCAAGCAGATTTCTGTTGGGCAACTCAGTGGCGAAATTCCAGATTGCATTGGTTTTATTGAAATGACTGTGTTTTACCAAAATTTGCAACTTTAAATGTGAGCGCATCTTTAATCTATGTTAGGTTCATTACAGTTGCTTTTTTTCTGTTGTGCAGTTCTGGCAGTTTGGTGAGTGGG